GCTACTCCGGCTCCTATTAATATGCTAACAAAATTGATTGTTGTCCTTAAAGTTGCTTATAGAAATAATTGTAAGCTTTTTTTTTTCTTTTTACTCACAACTATGCATATCTAATAAGCATTAATGAATATTTTAGACAGTGATAGAATTAAATAATTTTAAATTATATTTAAATTAGATTAATTCTAATCCTGGTACTCTAAAAAAAATTTCGTAATTATAAAATTTGCTAAAGTTAAATTTATTTGTTTTAGTTGAATTTTTGAAGTAATTAATTTCAGTAAAATTATGTACACAAAAAGCTCAACAGGATCTTAGGCATGAAGAAAACATTGATGCATTTTCAATGAGCGGCGATGCAGGACGTCTTAGTCCGGCAATTTTAGCTAGTGATAATAGTGCTGGTATCATTTTCTGCTTAGCTTTCAATAATAAAATTTAACAAAATTTCAGATAAATTTTTTTTCTGATTTTTGATTTTTTTCTTTGCTTTTCGATCACTTAACCTTTCCTCTTTATTCATTCTAACACTAAATATTAGGTCAACATGAATTAATGTTAATTTTAAGTTCTTAAAGTTTTTTTAACACATCTATCTCTGATATTTTAATATCAATTTATTATTACAAGTATTAAATCGAATTTTATAATGTCGAAAAAGTAATTAAAAGTTTATAATATCAAAAATTTCGACTTAAAATATCACAAAAAGAAAAAAAAAACAAACATAAAATTATTTTTTAGAAGTTCGACGTGGTCAAAATGAAGAATTAGGAAAAAGTGATGATTGGAATATTGAAACAATAATTGATTGGAAACGTATTGTTGATATGTATTATCAAATAAATGGTAAAGTTGATGCAGAAGATATACACGTGGAAATGCCATCATAAATTTAATAAAAACATTAACACAAGAAATATTTGAAATTTTTTTAGGAAAATTTTAAAAACGAAAGAATGAACGAAAGAAACTGAAAATGAAAGAATTAATTATTTGATAAATTGCAGCAAAAGTATCGTTAAGATGAAAATTTCTTCATTGTAAATTAAAGTTTTTTCTTTTCTAATTGAAACTTTTTCACTTTTTTCTTCTCATCTCTTAATAATTTTATAAATGAATGATTTGTATGTATTTGTGTTATTAATTTATTGATTTTGTTTTTTGTTTTCTTTCTTTCTTCCTTTCATATATTTGAAGTGCCCACAACAGTTATTTTTTTTTTCTTTGCTTTTCTCTTATTAATTTTCTATTTCTGTTATTTTGTATAATAAACTATTCGCTCACTTTTGTTATATAATTGTAAAATAAATTTTTTTCTTAAAAAAAAAGAAAAGAAAATGACAATAAAATAGCAAATATTAATTGTAAAAGTTTGATCTAATGCTTCATTTCATATCTGAAAATAACAATTGGTTATAAATCAAAAAACAAATTAGGAAATTATTTAAAGATAGCATTTTTGCATTAATATCAAATAATTGCTTCCTTATCACTTTTACATATCATTGCTTATCTCTGTGTCATCGTACTCTAGATGATCTCTTCGTTGATCAAATTAAATTGATAAGAGCAAATGCTTAATGTATTTATCATTAGGAAGAGTATATGTATCTTTTAGCTTCATAATTTTAGTAATTACAACTGTGCCTTATACTATTTTACGCCTTATCTTAAAAGATAAAATTTTTGATAGTTAATTAAAATTAACTTTGACATTTTGTAATTATTGTTGGAAATAGCGATAATTAGATCATTGAATATTTGTAGGTTTCATTTCATTCACCTCGATTACTCTATTATTTTTATTAACAATTTGTAGGCTTTCTCCACTTGCTAATTCTTCTAAAATTGAAGTTAAATATAAATAAGTGATAATTGAAATTCAGTACAAATACATAGTACTTGAAATTATGTGTACGACAACAATAAATGATAGTCGAAATCACGTCCATATATAAATGTAAACAATGATTGAAATTAAGAAATGAATTGTAAATGAAATTAAATAAGTACGAATAATGCTTGAAGAAATGAGTAATAATTGAAATGAATATAGATAAATGGCATGAAAGAATTTGTGTAATGAGAAAATAAATTGTTGAAATTTCAGGGTAATCTGAAATTTTACCAATGTGTAATTGTTTTTGTAAACATATTGATTCGATTGCACTGATTTCTTGTTCAATCGATTCGATCAATTCAATCATTTTATCAAAATTACAAATTCTAAAGTGCAAATATAGTGATAAATGACAAAAATGAAAAAATGATTTTTCTGTTAATTGTATAATTATTATTGTTGAATAATTTCTCCTTTGCTTCAAGAATTAATCTCTTAATTAATGATAAAAATAGATTTTTAAAATTTCAAAAATTTAAATTAATCAGTTATTTCATTTCATAGTAAAACCCTATGAGTATATATTTTGATTTCTTATACCTTTCAGTTTGTGATTGTGTACATTTCAACCACTGAATGATTGTATCATTGATGTTATCTTCTTCATTCGCATTCTCATTATTATTCCGGAAAGTTTCTTCCGGAAAAGTATCGAAAACAAAAATTTTCTTTGATGTTGTTTTATAATATTTTTGCATATTTTCTCTCAAATTTTTTCTTTTTACAATATTTTTTGACCTAAAAAATTTCTGTTTTATTTTAAATTCATATTTGAATTTTTCATCTATCCTTTTTTTCAACACAAGTAAATTATTGAGAGTTTAATTTTTTTTATCATTTAATTTAATTACTATAGAAATATCACCGAATAAGTGAAAAAGAAAGAAAAGAAAAAAGTTGCCATTTACAGTAGCAAATGATTTTGATATGATTTCACTAATTTTTTTTCCTTAATTAGCATTAATTAGTATAAATTTAATTGATATTCAATCAATCAATGAGAGATTTTGGCATTGATTATCACTAACTCTGTGATAATTATTAAAAAATAATACACACTGATAAGGAATTATTTACATTTACTTAATAAATTTTAGCTATTTTATTTATTTAAATATTTAATAATTGATTCATCTAACTGAATTTTCGTTGGGTTACAGTCATCAGTTTTCGATTTACTTCGAATTTGCTCATTCATTGATACTTTCGATGGTATTTGGGCTTTATCAAATGCAATTGATAATGGAATATGTGATAAGGCTATATTAATGATATTTTGGGGTAAAATATTAATCATTGTTGAAGATAATTTAGCTGAAAATTTTTAGTTCTTTAAAAAATAAATTTTGAAATTCCAATAAATTTTGTAAGTTTTTTTTTGCACTGAATTGATATCGACAACATTAAGTTTCTGCTTATTAAATCTCTATTCAAAAATGAGTTTAAAATTAATTAATTGTAAATTTTTATTTTTATGAGGTAAAGCTAAAAGTAAAGACTCAAAAATATCAAAAATTATCGATTAACTTAAGAGAAAGTAATCAAAATGTAACGAACGGACAAGAAAATTTGCAATTACCATTCTTGTTTTTTTATTTTGTTATTCTAATTTTATTTTCTAAATTTAACTTTTTAATATTTTATGTACATAATTTATTTTATTTAAACTTTTTCTTACTGTGATGCTTTGAGTAAAAGAAAATATGTATAGTAAGTAGTAGCTTACCGGACTTCTTTTCAATTATAACTTCATAAATTGCTGAACGGACTGATTGCAATTTGCAGTTCTTTGAAATCTTTTTAGGTGCACATTTTAATATTTTCAATTTTATGTAATCCGCAATAAAACATTCCGGAAAATGCAATTGATAGCAGTTTGGTTCATTTTTTAGCAAACTGCTTTCATTTGAAATTTTCATTGCTTTTTCCGACTCTGTGATTAGATTTCTTATTTTCTTTTTTTAATTTTTTAAAAAGAAATATTTTTGTCCTGGTAAGATTACAATTTGCTAATAATTCTTAAGAAAAAAACTTATTAAAAAAATGTTTTTTTTTTTTAAAATAACCTTGCAATTTAAAAGTTGAAATTATTTATTTAATTTTTGGATGTAATTAACAAAAATTTACTGATTGTTGGGCAATTTTTTGCTGATAAAGTGATATTATCGTTATCAAAAGATTCTTGACTGGAAACAGTTATATCAGCAAATGAGAGGATAGTAAGTTCTGAGCTTAAACTTGATGTTCCAATTGTACTTTTCATTTCAGACAAATTTGAATTTAAACTTAGCATATCGTTCAATTCACTGCAACAAATGCAATGACAGATATTAATTTTAATTTTAATATACTGTTAATCAATCAATGATATTTGCGAAAGCGAATAATTTTAATGCATATATTTGATTAATGGAAGTATGCAACGATGATAACAAAATTATTTTCTTGTTAATTTTGACTAAATTATTGATTATTAATTTTATGATCAATTAGTAATTATATTCAATTTGTATTCATTACAATTAGCTGCTACCATTTCAAATTTTGATTGTTTCTAAGTTGAAATAAGTTAAAATTACGAAAGATCTGAAAATTAAAATATTTTATAAACTGAAATTAAATATATCAGTAGATGTACGTAAAGGACAGAAAATTGATAAATGATTTAACTAAATTACCAATTCATGCAGTTTTTGAGAATAACAACCTGTCAGTCTGATTTTAGAATATAAAATGATGACGGTATTTCATATTTAATTAAACTTTATTCAATATTTTTTTTCGAAATGATGTATTATTTAAATTAAATTAAAGGTTTAATATCTTTAGCATTAATTAAAAAAAAAACGAAAAAAACATATATGAATTAAATAAAGAGCATTTAAAAAAGAAATGAGCTTTTATTCTAGAAGGTATTTCGTTAAATGATAAAAATAATATTGGCTAATCTGTTGCGATCAATCAAATATTTCTATCATAAATTATAAGCACAAATTGTTCTTTATTTCGTTTTTTACATAAATTAAATAAATTAATAAAAAACATTCAAACAAATAGTATCGAACAAAAATATTTAAATTAAAATTTACTAATTATTCTATAAATCTTGAAGGACAAAATTAAGTGCTCTTGCATGAAATCTATTACCAACAATAGTGCCACTATTACTGCGACGATATGTTGATGGTAATTTCGATGGAAAATTTCGATGGCATAATAACTGGAAATAAAATTTTAAAAAAAAAAAGAATTGATAAGAAATTAAGCAAAAAAGTTTTAATTTAGGAGAAAAAAATAGCATTTAAAGTTTAAAAAATAAACGAAGGTATATATCTTATTATAAATTATAAAATATTTCACTGATAAATTACTGATAAAATTGATAAATTAAGCAATCAAAAAATATGAAAGTAGAAAAAGAAAGTTAAATTTTGAGCAGACAATTTTAAAAGAAAAAAAGTTACGATTTTTCTTCCTGCAAATTTACTCGAAAGTTGTTAGCTATTTAAATTCCAATTGATGCAAAAATTTTGATTTTTAATAATTTGCTCAAATTTTTATTGTTTAATAATTTTTTAAATTAGATTATAATTGAGAAAGAAATATGATAATATTAATATTATGCATTTCTAATATGTTAAATGATAGGTAACAATTAGGATTGATAAGAAAAAAAATTCAAAAAAACCTTGGAAAAGAAATCATCGGAATGTATACTATGAGGAATAGTTGAGGACACCCCGGTAGCGGATCCTAATATTCGTTTTGGCTTTGGCTTTCTTTTCTTGGCTCTTTTATGACAACAAAATAATAATGTCATATTGGTAATATAACGACCAATCCACCGTAACTAAAAATGTAATATTTTGACTAAGCAAATTTAAATTTGTTTTGAAAATTTTACAAAAAATCTGTTGCAAAGAAAGGCGATAAATAGGAGAAAGAGAGAGAGGGGAAGAGAGGGAGAGAAGGAAAGAAATGAAAAAGAAATGCTTAACAGTTTAAAACATATTCTATCATTAATTGCATCAAAAACAATTTAAAAATTTGATATTTCATTTCCTTTTTATTATTTTTTAAATGAATTTTCATCATAAATTCGAAATTACAATTTTATTCATTTTAAACAATAAAAAAAAAAAAGAAAAAAGATCACTGATATCTTAATGAAATATTTTCAGATTATGTAAATTAATTTTACCTTAGCACTTAATGTTGGTATCCTTAATATAACCAATAACGGATTGAAAAGTGGGTCAACAAATGCGGTAATTCTTGCTAATTGAAACCAACGAGCCCATTCCGTTGCATCTTCACGATTTTCCGCCCAGAAAACAGCTATTTCAACAAATGATTGACCAGCAATTGAGAAAAAATATGCGCAAATGGATAGGAGAAGTGTGTTAAAGAGCATTTCACGTCGACGTTGTGGTTTACATTCACTAAAAATATTTTTTTTTAAAAAAAAAAAAAGTAAAAATAAAACAAGAAATAAAATTTTTATTATTAATTAAATTAAGAAATTTTTTTTCAATGAAGAAATTTTAAAAATCTAGCAATCTTTTTTTTTGAATTTACTTAAATTAATAAAATAATTCGATCAATGAAAACAAACGAAATTTATAAAATTCATCGAAAGAAAAATCATTATTCTAGTAAAAGGATTAAACAATTTAGCAATTTAATGTTAAATGAACCGTGTTTCTCCGCTTAATACGTTGTTTTGTCGACGTACGTTACGATGATGGCAAACTGTCACAACAAATATTATCAATGCTATTATGAGGAAAGTTAACGTAAATAGCGTATGACCACGTAATAAATAAACGCCAAAATCGTAAAATGGTGAAATTCGATCACAAAGATCACCAAAAATATTGTAATCTGCTAACATTAAACTGAAATTAATGTTATACAATTCAAGAATTTATTTATTTTTGATATAAAAATTTATTTTATAATTCTTATTTGAGTTATTTTGATAAATTCAAAACAAATATTACCAATACTATTAATAAGTGAATTATATTCTTTTTACAAATTATTATTATAAATACGAAAGAATCAATTTAAATAAGAATTATCAAATAATTGTTTTTTATGTTGATGGTTAATATTTTATTAATTAATTTCGCATAGATTTCAAATATTTTACATAACATAATGATAATGAATGAATGATTTATATTAATTTCAAAAATTATTATTATTATTTTGATCCAATTATTCTAGCAACTATAAATTTCACTGTTTCATTCAAAAATTAAACCTTATTTCATTACACTGAACATCACGTCGACGTGTCTTCAACGTGTTGAACATTTGACCGATGAAATGAACTGCTGTAAGTTGCAAAGATGAAAATAATAGATGCGTGATGAACAAAAATATCCAAACAAGTGAAAAAATTGAAATTACACATTTCCGTGACAGTCGTATTGATTTACCAGCCATTGAACGATTAATAACAACCTAAATAGTATTCATTATTCTTATTTATTAATGTTATAATTATCGTGATTTCCATTTATTACTATCATAATAATCATGATTCTTATTTATTAATGTCGTAGTGATCGTAATTTTCATTCATTACTACCATAATAATCGTGAGTTCTATTTATTATTACCACGGTAGTGGTAGTTATGATATCTACTTATTATTATCGTAACAATCATGATTTCCGTTTATTACTATCACGGTAATCATGATTACTGCTTATTAATTTGACTGTTTGATGCTTCTTTTTAAATTTAATTTAACAAAAATTAATCTAATCGTTATTTTTTCTTTTTCTTTTCTCACTACTGCAAAAAGCAAAATACTTACTAATACAAGAACAAGTAAATTAGTAAGGCCAAGAAGAGAACCATTTTGTGCCAATGAATAAAGAGTTTCTTGAATCATTTGTTGAATGAATTTATTTGTTTCAAATAAATTTGCATTTAATGCTTCAGTTATAACCAGTGATGCTGGAATTGTTCCATCAAAATCCTAAAAAAGAAAAAGGAAAAAGAAGAGAAAATCTAAATTATATAAATTAATCAAATAATTATAAATGAAACTACAAATACATTTTTGCTAAATTTCCACAATTGTTATAAATACTTCTTTTCGCTATTTTTTTTTAAAGTTTAAAAGAATTTGCTGTAATCTTCTAAATAATATTTTGATTATGACATAATCATTATTTAGAGATGAATTTATAAAATTATTTTATTCTAAATACATTAAAATCGTTCTGTATTTTTTCTTATAACTTATTAAACATAAATAATATTTTACAACTATTTTTTGAATAGGAAAAATTGGTAGAAAAAACAAATTATGGCTAAAAAGAGATTTAACTAATAATTTAAATAAGTTCTTTCACTATCATTGAGCACTAATCTATTTTTATTGAATGCAAAATGTTACATAATATTGTTCTCTGACAATTTAGAAAAAAAAATATCTGACATATTTTCTTTTTTTTTTTTGTTTAATGACAATTTTAATGCAAAAAATAAAAAATAATTTTTTTGGAAAACGAAGCAAATTTGTAATTAAATTATGCAAACCCTTGCAAATAAATTATTTGCAATTTTAAGTTGAAATAACAATAAACAATAATGAAAAAAAGAAAGAAATGAAATAATTTAAAAGAAACCGTAATACTAATTATAACTAACAGTAATGATAACGCTAATAATTAATAATAATATTAATAATAGTAATTAATAGTAATAAAAGTAGTAGTTGATATTATTTATCGTTTTTATTCACTTATTTTTCCCATTATTCTGTATTTTAATTGTTTTTTTTTCTTTTTTGTCTCTTATTAAACAACAGAGAAACTATTTCCTTTTTTTTTATTATTTTACTCATTTTGTTTTTCTAAGGTTTTTTAAAATATAATTAATTAATTAAAAAAAGAAAACGGTACCATATCACTTAGTGCTTTAGATGCTTTATCACTGACTGTTTGAGAAAGTAAGAAAACAAATGATATGATAAATAATGAATTGGAAAAAATGATATTAAATATGAATAGCACCATTGCTGTTGATAAATGTTTATATGATTTCCATAATAATAATAATAATATTATAGTAATAATTAGTACTAATAATAAAAGAAATGTTTCTGTATAAATACCAATTTCAGCAAATCGTGCAATTGTTCTGTAATAATTAAAAATTTCAATATATAAATTAAAAATTCAACAACAATAATAAAATTGTCTTTTCCAAAAGAAGAAAAAAGAAAAAAAAATTAAATAATATTATTATGGAAAACTTAAATTAATATTAGCAATAAAATTGTAATAAAATATTTTTTTTTAATAAAACTTGAAATTTACCATTAAAAAAAATTTTTTTTTTCTTCTGTTGAATTAACTAATACTTTTTTTTAACAGAAAAATTTTTGTCATTGTTTTTGCTGTTAACCATAAAATAAAATTATACGCTATCAAAAAAAAAGGAAATAAATAAAAAATAATTATTATTACTTTTCATGATTTCATATGAATTTTTAAATCATTTCAAATATCAATAAATAATTACCTAATTTCTGCATTTGTCTGTGCACTGACAAACAGATTTCCTTCATATGAACAATAATTGAATTTATCATTATCATTCTCGTTATTATCATAAATAAAATCACTTCTACTGCTATTATCAATACTGCTTTCCAAAATATATTGTCCCTCTTCTCGTTGTTGAATACACCTAATTTCATCATTCCACACATCTCTTTTGTTTTAAATCTTTAATTATTAATTTGCAAAAAAAAAAGGAAAAAAAGCACACTATTTTTAAGTAATCAAAGATTATAATTTAAATTTATAAATTCCTTAGTTTCAAAATTGTATTTTCTTATAAAATCATATACATTTTTTTTTTCACATATTGCATGAAATTTTATAAAGGAAAGGATATAAAATTAATGCTAAACAATTCTAAATGAAATTTAACAATAAATAAAAAGAAAAAAAAAAGCAAATGGAATTTAAGGAAAAAGATGAATAAAATTATTTCATTATAAATTATTTTTGAAAATTTTTATATCAAATTTTATGTTAATGAATAATTTTTAAGTAGTTTAATAACTAATAAATGTTAACATGTTAGCTTTGTCCAGTTCACGTTGCAATTTAACAGCTGTAATGCTAAAAAGTTGAAGATGAAGGCGTGTTTTCAAAACAATTTCTAGCAATGGACTAGCACGATTAATTGTTGATATGAGATAAGTGCTGAAAAGAATATTCATTTGATTAAAAATTGATAATAAATTATTTCTTTAAAAAAATACTTTTTATATATTTTTTTAAGGAATTTCATAAATAATATTTAGCATAGATTTTTTTTTTTACAGTTATTAATATCATATGATTAACTGTATCTTGGATAATTTGATTTTTATCAAATTATTTGACTAAAAGTAATATATAGAATTATTTGTAGTAGTTAATTTGATTAATTAATAATTTTAACCTTAATAAATTCATAAAGTATATATCATTTGAAAGTGCTTCACCAAATGATGAATATTTTGGTAGCATATTAATGACAAAATCATGCAACGTATGACAATTTCTGGCAAACCGTTGAAAAAGCACATTCATTTTAATTAATCGTAACGTTGAATTTCCAGAACACATCTGAAATTTTTTTTTTTTTCAACGAAATATTTAAATTTAACTTTATTTGAATTATAAATGAATGAAGAAGAAAAAAGCGAATTAAACAAAACAAAAAGACATTATTTTGAAATAAAAGAAAATTTTTAAAACAAAATTATTTTTTTAAGAAAAAAAGATGAAAGAATGTTAAAATACTTTGTTCAGAAGATATAGCTTATTATTTGGTTTGTCTGCAAGGCAACGTTGAAATAAATCGTTATTTGTGTTCTGTATTTGTTGACAAATGATTCTTCAAATAATTAAATGTGTTAGATGAATTTTTCTTATCATTTATTATCAATATTAAATATTAACTTTTACAAGCTTAGGTAAAACAAGCACTGATAAGAGATACCGATGATAATCAAGAATGAGTAATAATTTAAAGCGTATATTAAGATATTAGAAAAAAGTCAAAAATAATTATACCAGTCACTTTCACATATTATTAAATGATAAATTATGACTTTGTTATCAAATTTGATTGATAACTGATAATTCTTAAGGTCACTTGTTACCTGCGATCTGTATTGTTATCTTCGAAAAGAATTCGAAACAAATCTGCATATTTCATTAATCCATAAAAATTTATATCATTAATTTCTTGACATACCTGAAAATGAAGATGATAGCTATCAGATTAATTAAATTAATTCCAATATAATTTGATCATGAAAAAAAATTCATTCCTAATAACATTTTGAAAATTTTTTCAAAGTTTAAATTCAGGGCATTTAAAAAAATTATGCTCAAATTTAATTTTTTTAAATTGATTGAAAATATTTTTTGTGAATTTATTAATGCTTTAAACAAAAAACTTAGACATTGTTGATATTTTATGAAAAATTTGTTTAAAATAAATTTAAAAGTTTAAAATATATAAATTATACTTTTCAAATTTAAAAGTTTAAGTAATGTTCAAGTTCTTGTTTTTTTTTTTTAAAATTTTTTTGATAACATCTTTTCAACTTCAAACTAACTAATCATTTATCCAATATGTACCAATGCAAAGGCAGCTCGTGTAATTAATACTTGAAATGTTCGATTATAATGAATTTCAGGTCTCTTCCAATTTAAAACGTGATTCACTTCACAGTATTGCAACGCCTGCATAAACCATACCAATGAAATATGACGTGACGGTACGTAACGTTCAATTTCAGGTGAACATAACGCATCATGTTGAAATAAACGATAAAGCTATAATAAATTACTAAAAGTGATTTAATTTTTGATTATAATTCAAAATTTTGTCATATAATTGAATAATTGAATGTGAATGCATTTAATTCATTCATTTTTTTCACTAATTAAATTGTTATTTAATTAATTTACAATAAAATTCATATCAGTTACACTTTCTTTTCGATATTTTAGAATTAAAACTTTTTTATTTTTGTTTTCTTTTTAGCTAATAAATTATTTACTTGTAATTCATACTTATCAATTGATAAAATACATACCAATGTTATCCCAGAACGATGCATAACTAATTGTCGATTATTTTGAGTGCATAATGCTGCTAACTTACTACGATTATCAAACGGTGATAACCATTTGAAGTTATCATCTGATGATAAATGATAAGCTATCGCATTGGAATACGAAAGTAGTTGTAATAGTAAGAAATGAATGAATGCATAATTGTATCTCATAGGAATTTATGTCTACGCTTGTTATTGTTAGTATAATTAGTATAACTGTAATAAATTAGTATAATAGCTTAACTGTAACAAATTTTTATAATTAATAAAAATTAATGTGAAAACAGAAATAATTTATAAAATGAAAATTAAAGTAAAAAAAAAAGAGAAAAATTAGACTAAGAAAACAAATAATATATTGTATACATAATAATAAATGAAACGAAAGAAACTATTCTAGCAAAATGTTAAATGTATGAAATATATTTGCCCATAAATGTAATCAGCCAATAACTTCTGACTTAAGCCTTATATTATCCTTCTCTCTTCCTCTCCTCCCTTCTCTAAAAATTTTTTTTTTTTTTTGAAATATTTTAGTTAATTTTCGGAAAATTTTTTTTTTCAATAAGTTAGTGATTAATATTTGTAAGTGAAAAATATTTTTTATCGCTTGTGGAAACAATACAATAAAATAAAAGTAATTGTTTGAAAAGTAATTTAAATTGCAGAAAATTAACTTATGAAATGATTGCTTACAATTTGTAAGTTTGTTTTGTTTTATTTCTTGAATATTTCATTAATTACAATAAAAATTCTAGGAATGTTAAGATTCTTCTTTCCTTTTTCCTTTTTTTTTTAAAAAAAAAAAAACGCAGAAAAAAATTAATTATAAAATATTTAAATCATTAACATAAAATATATAAATTAATTATAAAATATTTCATTCATTCAAGTAATTGTTATTTACATAATAATATTTCACTCTCTTATTTCTCAAACCTTGAATTAATTAATTTATCTATTAAATTTCCTCACTTCTTAATTATTTCGACATTAGCATGTTTTCCACAATAATTATTACACATCTATCCGATACTACTTTTTATAGCAATAAAAAATGTGTAATTTTTTTAAGTCTTATTGTTCCACCAATCTTTCTAATGATCAACAACAAGTTTTGATATAAAAATTTGCAGAATAATAGAAAAAATTGTATAAAATTTGAAAAAAATGTGCTGAAGATTTGATGAATTAAAAATAGAATTTAACATTTAGAACTTAATAAAGTAACGAATTAGTTTTTTTCAACATTTTTGATCAATAAATTTTTAATAAATCTATCAATTTTTAAACATTACTAGTTTTTTATTTAATTAATAATGAATACTAATAAATATGTGAGAAAGATGAAAATAATGCAAGGAAAAAATAATACTTTTTAAATAATAATAATAATAATAAAATAAAATCTACATGCCAATCTAAAATTATTAGTAATATTAGTATTAAAATTGAACAAAAACTAATTTTAGTGTTAGTATTTTATTTTTCCACAAACAATCATAAGTGAAATGATAAAATAATCAAAACAAATATATAATATTTGACCATAATAGTTCAAATATGATTTAAAAAAAAGATGAAAATTCTTCTCAATAATACAAATTTTTAGAGAATGCAATTCATTCATCAGTTAAGTTAAGTAAGTTATTTACTTCTTTCCTCTAAAATCTATACATTTCGTCTTGTGATAGATATTATTCAGATTGCGTCATTGCAGAAAGCGTCACAAGTGCCTCATTTACGTAAAGGAAAGTATGCTGTAGTTAAAAGTGGATTATCAATTGGTAAATTGAGTCAACCAATTTATCATTTTGTATTATATTTTGATCTATTCCTATTCAAATTTATCAATTCTTATTTAATTTATTAATTTCATCCATTTAATTCTATATAAAAAAAAACTTTTTTTTTCTTTTTTGTTCATCAAAATTCAAATGAAAATTAAAATAGAAATAAAAATTAAAAAAAAAAAAAAACTGCGAACAAAATTGATTAAATTAAAACTATGACAAATCGTAGATGTAAAATTTAAGTATTTACAGTTATCTTTAGCATTTGCAATTTGCATATGATTAATGATAATTATTAGTAAAACAAATTTATGATAGCAATTAGAATTTCATTTAGTAAAACAAATTTATGATAACAATTAGAATTTCATTTTTTTTTTTATTTCGGAGTCTGTTTAATTTCAAATAAGTAAAAAAGAGTAATCAGAAACTAAAAGAAAATCATTTATGATTTACTTTAAATGTATTTTTGAATCATTGCTATGCATCAAAATGCATGTTTAATAAAAATTTTCTTTCTTTTGCAATTCATTAACTTAAATTCAAATTTCAAAATATGAAATAAAAAGAGAAAAGAAGAAAGGATAAAAATATTTTACTAATGACTGCATCACATGAACAGTCTAAACTTTCTGATTTCTAGAGAAGTGTAATTGCATTAAAGTCAGTTTAGTTTAAAATAAGTACTCTTGGCACATTATTCAGTGTCAATTAAGTTAGAATTGATTTTAAAAAAAAGGAAAAAAAGTGCTACAAAGTATAATGCCCAGAAAAGAAATAAAAAAAATTCATAGACTAAATGAAAGGAAAAAAGGCTTATTTAATGATGATGAATTTATAGCAAAAGTAAGTAAGTTTAATCCTAAACATATCTGATAACACTTCATTCAAAAAAAAAAAAACAATATTTTGATTAAAAAGAAAAGAGAAAAGAGATTTTACAACTTTTTTTAAATGGTAGTTAAAACTTTTGAAATTTATTTATTATCATCCCAAGTGTAATTAGTATATTTAGCGCAAATTTTTATAACAAATGAACGTTATGATATCTCACATGGGAGCTCTCAGGACTATTAAATTAATTCGAAATTCAGCTTACTAATATGAGATAGAATTAATTGAATGCAGAATTTAATTTCTATTTTTGAATATTTTCCGAGAAATCGAAGTGAAACATTGGGTCCATCAGAAAAACCGAAACAATGAGCTAAAAGCTTAATCAAATTTTCTCTCACTATATTTCACTCAGTTTGAAAAGCATTGAGAGCATTTTTGAAATAGCATTCTGATAAAATAGACTAGAAGATTAAATGATTTTAAAGTCATAATCAGTTTCTTAATTTTTTCTTTTATTTTTAAAAGAGTTTGTTAAAATGTTTAATCATATTGGTAGCATATTCCTTATGCTTTTTTTGCGTTTTTTTTTTTTTTTTTTTTTAAATACAAAATAGAAAATAAGAATTGATGGATAAAATGAAGGAAGAAAATGTCGGTAAACAAATTATGCTAATGAGTTTTAGTCATTTCAATTCTTTCCTTTCATTAAAATACTCTTCTGCATTTTGTAACCACTCAATTAAGTGTTAAGTTATCTGTCTACAGAAAAGTATTTTGTTGTATTTGTTGTAAAATTGAAATTAGGAAATCTTTATTCTCAAATATATTTAATTTTTATTCATATTTTTAAGTAATTATTTTTTTTTTTTAAAAAAGGAATAATTTAAGAGAAATGCTCTCAAATTATTCCTTTTTTCAACTTTTTTCTTTTAAAAACTTTAAAAGATTTAAATTTTAATAAGTATATATAATGTTGGGAATAATTCATCTACAAATCACTATTAATGGTACAATAATTTAAGTGGAACAATTTTATGTGCCAACTTTTTCTTTTGAAATGAAATTTCATTTAGATTACAAATAATTACATTATTACATCACTAACATTTCTGATAATCATTATTAACTGTTAATTTACTTAATTATGCCATGCATATCATTATTTCTGAACTTGGAAATAATCACTGATAAGCAAAAACTACAAATTTAGAGATCAAAAGACAATAAAGGGTAGTAGGACAAATTTGATTACCAGTGTTTCTTGCACACTTTAACTGTAATTATCACTACATCTAATCATAACGCTTTTTTGTTGCTTATCATAAAAGAGAAATTAGGTTGAATGTTGCTGAAATAGCAAGAAAAAAAACAAAAGAAAAGCAAATTAATTAAATAACTGAGTAAATCAAATAGGCAGATAAATAAATAGATAAAAGATAAATAAATTAATTAAATAAAATGAGTAAATAAACATATTAAAAAATAAATAAAATTGATTAATTAAATGAAAAAAAAAATAAAAACAAATAAGTGAATAAATAAATTGAATTTTGTCCATTGGAGTAGGAAAGACGAAAAGTCGGTTATACCAAATAAGCTTTTGTTTCAGAGAAAAGTTTTCGCTAGAATCTTTGATTCAAATTTATTTGTTTTTCTTAAATTTATTCATTTTTGATTCAAATTTAATTTGTCTTAAAATACAGTTTTTTCGGAACTTTTTTAAATCAAGAATTCCAAAAATAAAATTTACTAAACATCATTTTGATTCTTAAACACGATTCAAATTTAATTTCTACATTTTCTCAACAAACATTTGATAATATATAAATAATTTATAAATTTATCATTTCAAATACAGCAAATTATACATTCTTTTTCAAATTTAAATCCAAACTAAAATTGTAGGTATCATGAACGAAAACTTATATCACAAGTCTTCGGTAAAGGTTACTGATTTTTATGAGTCTTAGAAGTAATAGATGATATCTTGAGAATGTTTCTGCTAATTCACAGAGGTCAAATTATTGAGGGTAGGTCAGCTCACATAGTAGTAACGTTAAGTTTAAACGAGCTTTCCATCCTTTTTTTCATTATTATTAAATTCATTATTCAAACCCATTTTAAGTATCACAGACAAGGATCTTAACCAAAGTTACCTCTCTCATTTTTGTCACTAAGAGTTTTAGTGAAAATATTACAATTAGGTCTATCAGATACAATAGGAATTAAAATTTTAGAAATAAAGTTTATTAAAATGATTGAAGAATGAAACTAAAGCGACTTGACATTTTTTGAAATTTTGATGATTCTGGCCAATTTTTTTTCCATTACTTCGTAAAGCAGAATCAATTAGCAGCTTTGCCTGCAGTAAAATCGGAAGAACAACGACAAGTAACTCTGAACGTTATTATTCCCATAAAGGTCAAATGAATTGACCTCTATGGTAAGAACAGAGTGGTGAAAAGGAACATACAAAACAAATGACAACTACTTCTTTCCGTCCTAAAATATTTTAACTTTTCGATTCTTGAATAAAATTGT